ACCTTCAGAAATAGAAGAAGAGTTCAAAGGTTGAAAAACAGTACAATGGAGGAGGTTGTAAACAATGATAACAATGGAAATCATAATCATGAGCCTGAACAAGGACCGAATGGAGGAAGAGGGCCATCATTGAATGATATGGCTGCTCCCTTCAGAAATGGTCCAGAACAAGGATATGTTCCCCCTCCTCTGAATATCCCGAACTTTGAAATAAAACCTGCAATGTTCCAAATGATTATGAACGCTGGTCAGTTCCATGGACTACCCATGGAAGACCCTCACAGTCATTTGGACAATTTCACTGAGATAGTTGACAATTTCAAAGTTCATGGTATTTCGGAAGAAAACATGCGGATGCGGCTTTTTCCATTTTCCTTAGCTGGAAAAGCCAAACAATGGAGGAGAACATTGCCCCCAAACTCCGTCACCAGTTGGGAGCAATTGGCGGAACAGTTTGTTACCCGATTTTTTCCCCAAGCAAAACAAGCCCAAGTGAGGGCTGATATAGCTTCTTTTCAAATGTATGATGGAGAAAGTCTGTATGAAGCGTGGGAACGCTTTAAAGAGTTGATACGAATCTGCCTGAATCATGGAGTTTCTGATTGGGGCATCATTCACACGTTTTACATGGTTTAACCCCACCATTGAAAGCAACTGTTGATGCAGCCGCAGGGGGAGATCTTTTGGATTTTACTTATCCAGAAACCTACCAGTTGTTGGAAAAACTTTCAAAAAAACATATTTCATGGTCTTCCACAAGACACAGTGCTCCTAAGAAAGCAGGAGTTCTTGACCTAAGCTCAGCTGATGCTCTTTCTGCACAAATGGCTTCGCTCCAGAACACTATAAAAAACTGGAAGCCCATGGAACAGAAAAAAACAACTGAGCAACTTCTTTTGACTCAATCAAGTCAGAGTTGCCCCACTTATGGAGGTCCTCATGAATATGAGGACTGTAACAATCTAGCTGTTGTGTGCTATGCAAGAGGGTATGACAACAACAACAGGAGCAATGACAACCATCAAGGGAACAATAACCGAGGCTGGAGGAATCAGAATAATGCTGGAGGTAGTGGAGGAAACTACCAGAACCGACCCCTGTATCCCAGGCAGAACCAACAAAACTGGGATAAGGGTGAAGGGAAGTCCCAATCCTTTGAGACTTCTGTCAAGGAGTACATGAATCAGAACAGCGCAGCCATGTGAAACCTAGAAACCCAAATTGGTCAACTGGCTGGAGCACTCAAACAGAGGCAACCAGGGACACTCCCTAGTGATACAGAAAAGCCGTCTCAAGATAACCAGGAGCATTGTAATGCTATAAGCCTGCGAGATGGAAAAACCTTACCACCCCCAGACTTAGTGGCACGACCTCGAAAGCGCGAACCAGCAAAACAGCCCATAGGAAAGGAAGTTGAAGAAGCCACTGACCCTTCACACCTTGAAGCTCAGACAAGACCAGAAGAGAAGGTCCAAAGCAATGAGTCTGCTGAAATCAAACCGGATGACGCAACACCTGTAGCAAAACTTGGAGCAACAAAAGTCAGTGAACCAGTTTCAGTTCCAACTTATGTTCCCCATGCAAGAGAAGGAGTGAACCGATCGAGCCTCCTTTTCCACAGAGGTTGAAAAAGCAACACGAGGATAAACAGTTTAGCCAGTTTCTTGACTTGATGAAACAACTTCACATAAATATCCCTCTAGTAGAAGCTCTGGAGCAAATGCCTTCATATACAAAATTCATGAAGGACATTTTGTCAAAAAGAAGAAAGATCGAAGAGTTTGAGACCGTAGCCCTCACTCAACAATCGTGCAAGTACCTGACTAAAATTCCTCCCAAACTAAAGGATCCTGGTATATTCACCATCCCGTGTACAGTTGGGAAGAACTATCTTGGTCGGGCACTTTGTGATCTGGGCTCAAGTGTAAATCTAATGCCAGCTTCCATCTTCAAGCAGCTTGACATAGGAGCAGCAAGACCAACCACAGTCACTCTTCAACTTGCAGACCGATCTATAGCCAAGCCAGAAGGAAAAATTGAGAATGTCCTTGTCCAAGTAGACAAGTTCATTCTACCAGCTGACTTCATCATCTTAGATTTTGAAGCAGATCAAGAAGTTCCAATAATTTTGGGCAGACCATTTCTGGCTACCGGTGATGCTATCATAAATGTCAGAAAGGGTGAACTTTCTATGAGTGTAAACGGAGAAGAAGTGAAGTTTAATGTCATGAAAGCAATAAGGTTTGATGAAGATAACACTGAGGAATGCTCTAGCATTTCGATTCTTGACTCGGTCATATGAGAAGAACAACAGAAGCATTTGCAGCCAGAGATAGGCATTAAGGACTTTGAGGAGCTGGAAGAATACCTTGCATCCATCAGTTTCCACCAACCCCAGGGAAGGAAAGAAAGGGTCTTTGAATCCTTAAATCGATCAGAGCAAGAGCAAAGACCAAAATTGCCTTCAGTAGAGCAACCACCTACCTTGGAGTTAAAACCCTTACCTGAACACCTGAAATATACTTATTTGGGTAAAGACAACACTCTCCCTGTGATTATTTCTTCTTTGCTAACCCATGAACAGGAACTTCAACTCACACAAAAGCTCAAAGATTACAAAGGAGCAATCGGCTACACCATGGCTGACATAAAAGGAATTAGCCCAACAATTTGCATGCACAAGATTTTGCTCCAAGACCCTGACAGCTCATCTGTGGAGAATCAAAGGAGGCTGAATCCCAATATGAAGGAGGTGGTAAGAAAAGAAATCATCAAATGGCTTGATGCAGGTATAATCTATCCCATCTCAGATAGTAAATGGGTTGCTCCTGTGCAATGCGTTCCAAAAAAGGGTGGCATTACTGTAGTTGAAAATGACAAACAAGAGTTAATAGCCACCAAAAAAATAACTGGGTGGAGGATTTGTCAAGACTACAGGAAATTAAATAATGCTACCCGAAAGGATCATTTCTCCCTTCCTTTTATTGACCAAATGCTGGATCATCTAGCTGGGAAAGAATTCTTTTGTTTCTTAGATGGGTATTCGGGATACAACCAAATCCCGGTTGCTCCTGAAGACCAGCACAAAACCACTTTTACGTGCCCCTTTGGGACGTTTGCATTCAGAAGAATGCCTTTTGGGCTATGTAATGCCCCTGCAACTTTTCAGAGATGCATGTTTGCTTTGTTTACTGATTTGGTAGGAGAAGCAGTAGAAATTTTCATGGATGATTTTTCTGTCATTGGTTGTTCTTTTCCTACTTGCCTCAATAACCTTGAACAGGTATTGAAAAGATGTGTCAAGAGCAATTTGGTGCTGAATTGGGAAAAATGCCACTTCATGGTAAGAGAAGGCATTGTGCTAGGACACAAAATCTCAAGCAAGGGCCTCGAGGTGGACAAGGCTAAGGTGGAAGCAATTGAGAAGCTACCTCCCCCTACCACCGTAAAAGGGATCAGAAGCTTCTTGGGACATGCTGGGTTCTACAGACGTTTCATTAAAGACTTCTCCAAAATCGCCAAACCACTTTGTGAACTTCTGGAGCAAGACAGGAAGTTCAATTTTGATGAAAAATGTTTGACAGCCTTCCTGGAGCTCAAGTTGAGGCTGGTGTCCGCACCCATCATTCAAAGCCCAGATTGGAGTCTTCCTTTTGAACTAATGTGTGACGCCAGCGACTTCGACTTGGGAGTAGTTCTTGGGCAGCGAAAAGACAAAGTCTTCAGAACTGTTTACTACGCTAGTAGAACTCTTACTCCGGCACAAGCCAACTACACAGTGACGGAGAAGGAGATGCTGGCAGTTGTATTTGCATGTGACAAGTTTCGTTCATATCTAATATGTTCCAAAGTCACAGTCTTCACTGATCATTCAGCAATCAAGCAACTCTTTGCTAAGAAGGATGCAAAGCCAAGACTAATTAGATGGGTACTATTGCTCCAAGAATTTGACCTTGAGATCAAGGACCGGAGAGGAAGTGATAACAAGGTGGCTGACCACCTATCTCGATTAAAGAGAGCAAGCCCACAAGAAGGAGATCATATCAAGGAGACATTCCCTGATGAGCAGCTTCTAATGATCGCTGAAAAACAAGTTGTTTGCAGATATTGCAAACTACCTGGCTGCCGGAATCGAGCCATACCACTTGAATCACCAAGGGAGAAAAAGGTTCCATCATGAAGCTAAGCAGTATTTCTGGGACGACCCTTTGCTCTACAAAAGGTGTTCTGACCAATTACTTTGAAGGTGTATCCCTGAAGGAGAACAACAGAAAATACTGGAGCAATGCCACAATTCCCCTTATGGAGGACACTTTGCTGGAGCAAGAACAGCAGCTAAAGTGCTGCAGTCAGGTTTATACTGGCCCTCATTGTTTAAAGATGCTAATGTTTTTGTTAAAAAATGTGACAGGTGCCAGAGAACAGGGAACATTACAAGAAAGCATGAAATGCCCCTTGTTCCAATAATGGAGGTTGAATTGTTCGATGTATGGGGCATTGATTTCATGGGGCCTTTCCCACATTCCTTTGGAAACAAGTATATACTTGTTGCAGTTGACTATATGTCGAAATGGGTAGAAGCTGTTGCTACCCCCACTAATGATGCCAGGAAAGTGCTGAAGTTCATCAAAAAGAATATTTTCACTCGATTTGGAACCCCTAGAGCAATTATCAGCGACGGGGGTACACACTTCGTGAACAAACAATTCCAATTGCTCCTGAAGAAATATGGAGTGCAGCATAAAATTGCCACCCCTTACCACCCACAGACCAGCGGGCAGGTAGAGGTGTCCAACAGGGAGATAAAAAAAATCCTGGAAAAGGTCATAAACCCAGATAGAAAAGATTGGTCCAACGAATTGGATGATTCCCTATGGGCGTATCGAACAGCTTATCGAACGCCTATTGGCTGCTCCCCCTATAAGTTGGTGTTTGGAAAAGCGTGTCACTTGCCTCTGGAACTTCAACACAAAGCATTCTGGGCCATCACATTACTAAACATGGATTCCAGAATGGCTGGGAAAAAGAGGTTGCTCCAGTTGGTTGAACTGGAAGAATTCCGGAGCAAGACATATGAAAACGCCAACCTCTACAAGGAGCAGATGAAAAATTGGCACGATAAAAAGCTTATCAAGGGAGAGTTAGAAGTTGGAGACAAAGTGTTGCTGTATCGATCCAGATTGAAACTGTTTCCTGGAAAGTTGAAATCAAGATGGGAGGGACCTTATGCAATCATTGAAGCACTTCCCAATGGAGCATTTGCCATTGCTCATGAAACATCTGGAGCAACGCTCAGGGTAAATGGACACAGACTCAAGAAGTATAATAGAGGGATCAAGGAGCATGAGAAATTAACTTCTCATCTCGATGACCCAGCTGAAGTCTGACTCAAGGAGCAACAAGTCGAGCTAAGA